CAAATTCGGGAATTTTCCCCAGGAAAATCCTGGAAAAACCTGGGAAAACATTAGGCAAATTTACTCATCGCTGAGTTCCTGCACTTTTGGCGATTATGAGTGAACTAAACTCAAATTTGGGTCGATCTCATTTGCCGTGTATGGAAATCGCATAAGATACTATCAAGCTTTGTGTGAAGAGATGGTGGCTCGCTGGTTCTATTGTGGAGTGAAGAGATAAGACTAAGTCCGCTAGATTTAATGCACATATTTTCAGATGCATATGGGATTTTACCAAGGAGTAAAGAGTTGCAGGGTCGTCGTCAACGTCAATGCTTACTGAGCATGCAACAACAAGCCATAAGAAACCTACAGGGTTTGTTTACGTTTGGAACCAATTTCATACAAGAATGATCAATAGGCTGATTTGACAGCACGTTCCACCCAGAGCTAATGTCGCAAACGTAAACTTTTTCTGCGAATTTCCCGAAAATGAAAAACCACTCAAGTCAACTAAACGTAAACTGTGTAGAGGGAGACTCCACCTATCCGATGGAATAAATGGCTTACATGGAATGACTTTGAACTACAAGAAATATACGAAAGAAGTCATTGTTTACGTTTTCGACATTGGTCCTTATGAACGCACAGTGTCTCGCTTTTTATGGCACAGACCTGTTGGTCCATATTAAACGCACAGTGTCGATATCCCGAAAATTTTGTTTTGACAGATCGATGGCCAACTATACCCAGTTTAACCAGTGAGGCAACACAAAAAAGGGGTCAATTTTTAGAAAGTTATTTTGCATGCTGCTCCACATATGTTATGTGGTCATAGGGTTGATACATATATTATGTCACGCTCTAAGGGGGGGGTCTACGATTTTGTGACAAGCAATGCATAAGGTATAGGAAAAAACGTCACGATAGGGGGGGGGGGAAATTTCTCCTCAATTTAGCGTGACATAATTAATGCATGGGCGAGGAGATGGACAATCCTCGCATATGCTTGTACTGCCGCAAAAGCTCCTTTGCGTCCAAAGTTTGTGTAGGCAACATCAGCTTTTCGACAGTGCTCCACTTCTCGCTGCCAGTTGAATTCTGGTCGGTCCGGATTGTTCCTTCCCCAGCCCGTGTTGGCTCAATCTACCGGACTTTTTCGTTGACTTGCTGTTCCTCGTAGCTACACATTTCTCCGAAACAACACCGGTTCTTCGCCGGATTCGGTTTGTTCATCCTCCGTTTCATCAGCTGTCTTCATCATTCAACTTATTCAAATTCTGCTCAGTAAATTTTCCGTTCTTCGAATGGCGCGGTTTTGGCATTACTCCTGAAGTACCTTTGCCGGCATCGACGTCCTTTGTTCCTCTCTTATTTTTGGTGTGGTGTTTTCATCTCTAACATCGCATCATCCAGATCCTTCATCTCGGCCGGTAACAACTACTGCTTAGCTTTCATCGGGTCCAACTGCTCCTTTCGCTGCTTCAGCATGTTCTCTTGTAACAGTTCTTTTTCTTCTTCATCGCGTAACTTTTTCGCCAACAGCATCCGCTTCATTTCAATGGATCGCTTGAACATGATCTCTTTCTTTTTAATCTTCATCTCCATCTTCAGCTCTTGCGCCATCTGTTTTTGTTTCTCCTCTTTCGCTTTCAATTTATGCTCCAGAGCGAGTGCACGGTCAGATTTGACGCTGGAGCGGTCCGATTCATCGCCGTTTTTCTTGCTGCGACTCTTCTTCTTCTTCTTCTTCTTCTTCTTCTTCTTCTTGGTCCGGTACTGTACCACGTACCTTCCTTCTTCGTATCAGCAATCTTGGCGCAACGGATATGGTACCAACGTTGGCAACCATCGTAATCGATCATCTCCCCATTCTCGGTCGAAACTTCACCGCACGCGGAGTCTCCGTGAGGTCCAGAAAGGGTGGGGCAAGATTGGCCACCCCAAGTAACATTTCAGGTTTTATCACGGTTTTATAGCATTCTACAAGTCTAAATCATGATCTACAGAACCCTCATAAAACCAGAATTGTTACTTGAGTAGCGCTTTGAGGAAAATAAAAAAAAATCATAACTTTTTAGTTTATGATTTTACCATTACCAAGTGTTGCCAGTAATCAGCAAACATTAAGAACTACACTGCTGCAAAAAAATGAGGTTTAAGAGAAATATTTTTTTTTATAACTAATCTTATTTTTTGCATGGAAATAATCAAAAATTATCGCAGTGTAATTTTTTTTACAGAATTGCGAAATTTATGCCTATCTACAACTTTGCTCAAGACACCATAAAAATTGAACAAACCGCTTCCATAATATATATATATACATATCATTAATAATGTTTTTACACAGGCCCTAGACCCAATATGAAAAATTGATAACATAAAATGATATTGTTACTAAAAAGGAAAAATTGTGCAAAATTTTAGTTGAATTGGAAATGATTGTTCAGGATCGATTCGTGAGCCTTCGTGGAATGTCGATTGTTCATTCTAAAGTTATTCGTTTGACTATCATTAATTTCATCAGGGGGCCTCATAGTCTAGTCAGTAAAGGCACGGTGTTACCAAGCCGGAGGCGGCGGTTTCGATTCCCGGTCCGGTCGAGGTAATCTTTCGGGTTGGAAATTTTCTCGACTTCCCTGGGCATATCATTGTGCTTGCATCACAATATACATGGCATCGAAAGCTCCCAACTAATAACTGTGGAAGTGCATTTAGAACACTAAGTTGAGAGCACGCAATAAGCTAATATACACAGAGCTATAAGCTTGAAATGCGAATAAGAAGGATAAGATCATTAATTTAAGCAATGCATATTTTTGATTGGTTCACACTCTATTTCTTCATATTCTTGGCCTTTCAAGCCTATTCCTTATCGCATATTAGCTCACATCTTTGTGTTCTTAGAACACTTCCAATCATACTCTACGTCCATAATTAACCACAATAACAGGGCTGATTAAGAACTGATAAAGAAATTTATCTTCATTATAAACCAGCTTCTGATGTACCTTTGTCAGTAGGCAACAAAAGCGAACCACTTCAAATTTCAATTAACTTTGCCGAAATTTATTCAAATTCAGTCGCAAAGTTTGTCAGATTGATTCTCTAAATTCTTGATTGACTTTAACTTTCAATGTGATAACAAACTCATCACCTAAAACTGTCTCCTTGACATGAAAGCAGAAATTCACTCAACGGCCGTTTTCGTCACTGTTCTCGTTGTCAACGTTGACAGCTGAAACACAACTCGGTGACGACGGTGACACAGTTCCGTCTGCCTTTGTCGTCGTCGTCGTCGTAGTCCTTGTCGCTGGAAGATGTATAATAAATTACTGCCAGACCGGTAAATGTTTTGATTAATTTTGTTTTTTTTTTTTTTTTTTTTTTTTTTTTTTTTTTTTTTTTTTTTTTATTATAGTCACTTCAACACTCTTGGGTCATTCGTGACTTGTCCGGGGGTGAGACTTGAACTCGTGACTTTGGCGTGAGAGGTAAGGATGTTAACCACTACGCCGGGGTCGCCCCCTAAGATTAATTTTGTTCCGCTAACTTACACAGCAGTGTTTTGTCCATGATCCCGTGTCTCAGTACAGTAGAAAATCGAGTGTGCGTCTCGCCAAAGATGGATCGATCCGTAATCTGACGACAGATTTCACGGCACGGTCATCAATCAAGGAGTTTAGTAAAATATGTGTCTCTAGAAAGGTTCATCCTGCCTGGGAAATTATCTTCGTCTGCCTAGTAAGTGATATGATTTTAATCAAGCGAAGCTCTGTTCTAAAAGCCTCCTTCGTCAAGTTTTGCAGTATTTTACGTCTGGCATCATATCATTTAACTACTCTACTATAGTACTCTTTAACTGCATAATCAATCACCGGATAAAATTCCCTACCCCCTCCCATCAATCAAGTAACCTCGTAGCATTTGGCAAATGAAGCAAAAACGACCTCAATCAGGTCAACAAAACACACCATAACTTCGTAATCAATCTAGTTGTGGCGTTGTGGGCACAGGCAGGCTATATCTCTCCCATTGTTCAAACACATGCTTCACTTCGTTCAGCAGGTGCTGTGTGTGTCCGTTTAGACAGGGACAATCAGCAGAGAAAAACCTCATCAAATAGATTACCACCACCACCCAAACGAATGCGCCACCATTAGCAAAAAACCACTAACGAACAATACTGCTTACATGGCTTCCCAAATATAGAGGGCAGTAGAGGGTTTTGCAGTTTGAAATCTGACTAGATGGGGTGCTGCCGGTTAGCACTTTGAAGATTAAATAAATTGTTTGATAATTAGGTGATTCTTGCTGCTTTTGACAGCACTCACCACCAGAGGGCGAGTAGTCTTGAATCGTGCACTGAACACGAAACTAACTCAGAGAGTTAATCACTTTTACTCAGTTGTATGATGAAATATCTAAAAGCGTAGGTCACTCAGCGCATGAGTATCCTACGCTTTTAGAAATTTCTCCATACGAATACTCAATCTTTGAGAAAGATTCGTTTAAGTGTATTGATGGAAAATCGACTCAAGAATGTTTGGCGAGATTCAATTTTAATTAAAAATATAAAAAATGATGCAATTTGTCGGATAAATTATTTCTACATCATACATTTTTGGAAATCGATTATTTTTCGGAAATCTCTATACCGAAAAACCGATTATTTACCACAGGCAGGTGAAATCTGTCGGATTTGATGATGGAAACTATTACTCAATTTCCATCCCCTTGCCTTGTCAAAAATTTAAATGCGACCTGAAAATGTATTCACAAATAACATGTTTGTTAAAACAAGTGTTTGTACTCCTCGGGAATTAACCTCAAAAAGTATGAGTAGCTTTTTTTTCCAACAAGGCGAAAGGGAAAATGCGAGTCAAATATTCATGTGAATCCAATCCACTATCCAGTCAAGAAACTATAAATAATCCCATTCTCTTCTCATTCTCAATGCAGGAAACGTATTCGTAATAGCGGCCATTCTGCTGGAACGGAACCTCCAAAGCGTGGCCAACCATCTGATATTATCGCTGGCCGTGGCGGACCTTCTGGTGGCCTGCCTAGTGATGCCCCTCGGAGCCGTGTACGAAGTGTCGAAAGAGTGGCGACTCGGAGCGGACCTCTGCGACATGTGGACCTCCAGCGATGTCCTGTGCTGCACGGCATCGATCCTCCACCTGGTGGCCATTGCTCTCGATCGGTAAGTCTTTTTGAGCTGAATATGTTCTCGAATCAACAATATTGAAAATTCTGGGAATTGTGTCTACCCACTAGTGTTGAACTTAAATTTCCATCAATCAAACATCTGCCGTGGATTGTTTTCCATTTCCCGAACACATTAATTATGCACAAGCTTTAAAAAAAGCAAAAATGACTGTTATTACTTGGGATTGATTTCCCAATGACCATTGCAATTCCTGTACCGAAATGTACATTCCAATCACCGAATGCATGATTTGCTAACCAGCCAACCGTGCACCGACCGTTTGGGGAATAATTAAACGCTGTTCGAATATTTTTTTTTAATCGTATCAAAACGAAACATTACTTCCACTTGCGGGGTTTTCATGGTATGTCGGTCGGTGCTATGCTGGAGGTGGTTTTGATTATTCAGTTGACTGTGAATTTTCACGTTTCCAGTCGTAATCGAGAGCATAGTGTGCTGCTTGAAAACGCATCGAATATCGAAATCGATATGAATGCAAGGTGGTTTTTACCATTCTCAAATGAGCAAATCCACGCCAACTGGCAAATCGATTTTACTTTACCGTCTCCTAATTCTATGAAACTTTGCAAAATTGGTCACTAGGGACAATGAGCCAAGCAGGGTTCTACATTTTCCAAAGAAAAGAAAATGAACACTCCGGAGAATCGCTTTATTTTGAACAACATCATTTTCGTGTAAGTCATTGTTTTTCTTGTTATCAAGTCACGATGAAAATTCCTCCTGTCAAACATGACTTGACTATCGCTTGTTTCGTTCGTCAAGTGCTTCAGTTCATTTCATTTGATTTATTTATTTATTTATTTATTTAATTGATTCCATCAACAGGCTTCAATAAGCCCTAATGATGTTAAGTAATACAAAAAACAACATGATTGTCTGTGCTTAAAACTTAAACATTGCACTGCTATTCACGGTTACCTGTGCCCGAAAATATCGAGGTGAAACTACTGTTGAAAACTCGCTGCAGTCCGTTTATTGCTCCATTCATTCCGTAGTTCGTGCGACGAAAGGGAAGTCTCAGCATAAGACTGTTTCTTAGTGCACGTGGTCGTACATTCAAACCGATTTTTTCGAGGATAGTAGGACAATCGATTCTCCCTTGCAATGTATCGGCAACAAGTAAAGCCCTTGCAGCGTCTCTTCGGGTCGAAAGAGTTTCCAAACCAATTAGCTGACATCGGCTTTCATAGCTAGGCAAACGGAAAGGATCTCTCCAAGGCAATTGCCGAAGGGCGAAGCGTAAGAATCGGTGCTGGACTGATTCGACTCTTTCAACACCATTGTTGTAGCTTGGATTCCAAACTGCTGAGCAATATTCAAGGACTGATCGGACCAGTGAGGAGTACAATGACTTCAGGCAATAAATATCAGTAAAGTTTTTGGTTATTCTAAAGATAAAGCCTAGTGTTCTGGAAGCTTTATCAACGACATACGAAATATGCTGCTTATATGTGAGTTGCGAATCCAAAATGACTCCCAAATCCTTCACGTGGCTCACTCGTTCAATTGCTGAACCCAATAGGTTGTAGTTGAAGATGATTGGTTCTTTTATCCGAGAAAAGGAGATTACTGAGCATTTCGCCGGGTTAACTTCCTTTCGGTTCAAGGTGCACCAGTCAGCAAAAGCATGAAGCTGGCGTTGAAGAAAGTGACAGTCGGCAATGGAACGAATCCGAAGGTAGATTTTTAGATCGTCAGCATACGATAGTCGAGGTCCGTCAAGCACATAATTCACATCGTTGAAGTAGAGCAGGAAGATCAAAGGTCCAAGGTGGCTACCCTGGGGTATCCCCGATGTAGCAGGATAAGTATCAGATCGGTAATCGCCTATGGCAACCATCAGTTGGCGACCGGTTACATACGATCGAAACCATTGTAATAGGTTACCATTGATCCCAAGTCTGTCTAGTTTAGCAATAGCAATAGCATGGTTTAGCTTATCGAACGCTGCTGACAGATCGGTATAAATCACATCCGTTTGAGCTCGGTCAACCATGCTATCAGTTAAATAAGATGTGAGGCATAGCAGATTGGTGGTGGTGGAACGACCTGACATAAAGCCATGCTGATCATCACTCAAAACATGCTTGCAGTGAGAAAGTAGCGGTTCCATTATGACTAGTTCAAAAAGCTTCGATACGGTGCTCAGTGAGGTAATTCCACGATAGTTGTTGACATCTCGTTTGTTTCCTTTTTTGTGAACAGGAAACATGTGAGCAAACTTCCAGCAAGAAGGAAAAATACCACAGCGAAGCGATAATTGGAACACGTGACAGAGCGGAGTCAATAGACTATCGATATTCTTCTTGAGAAAAACGGACGGGATTCCATCGGGTCCAGGGTTGCAAGAAGATTTCAGCTTGGAAGCAGCTCTTAAAATAGTCATATCGTTGATGTCGATGCCATTTAATGTATCGCCGTGCATTGGAACGTTGCTTGCTGCGAGGTTAACATATTCGTCAGATAGGCTCTCGTCAGTGAAAACATCGGCAAATTTGAGAGAGAAGAGTCGGCAAATCTCCTGATATGTGGATTCCACTTCGCCATTGAACACCATGGACGATGGAAGACCGGATTCCTTTCGCTGCTCGTTTACATAGTTCCAAAAGGATTTCGGATGTGATCTCATCCTGCGCTGAATTCCCTGCTGATATCGCGAATAGCTTTGGCGACTGATCCGTTTGAATTGATGGTTTAGTCGAACATAATATTATTTTAATTGGAACGTACGGTAATTGGTGTATTTGCGTAGTGCAGCTCTTTTAGTAGATTTCAGTCTACGGAGCTCCTTAGTCTGCCATGGATGATGAGCTGCTTTCTGGTGACTTATCTTCGGGACATGTCTGTCGATAGTATACGCCAAAATGAGTGAAAACGTTCTTGCGGCTACCTCAACATCGTGATGATCGAGGATGTTTTCCCAGTCCAAACTGGAGAGCAAGTCTGAGATGCTGCGGTAATCTGCTTTTCGAAAATCGTAGGAAACAGCAACGGGCGTTTCGTCGAAATCGTGAAGTAACTTGCTCTCCACAGTCACAATCAAAGGAAGGTGATGTGGAGTTGGTTTCACTAGTGGAGCGGGTGCACAGGAGATGAATGGAGCGACATTCTGAGAACTGACGAAACAAAGGTCCAAGCTGCGGTTGTTCTCGTTGACTACATGATTGATTTGCGATAACGTAGACGTACTGTAGCTATCAAGAAGCATAGTGGCTCCACAATGGAACACTGATCGTTCTGGATCCGGATACAGAAAACCGCTATGGGATGGTTGCCACGAGATACCAGGTAAATTGTAGTCTCCCAAGACAATAACCTCGTCAATAGCAGTTGCGCTTTCCAAGACAGCTTGAATTGAACGACAATGGGCGTCGATGAAATCTATATCTCGAGCTCGGTTTGGAGGTATGTAGACCACACATACAAACAACGTGCGATCCGCTAGGTCCAAAGCTGCCCAGACCTGCTCTACGCTGTTCCACAGATCATTTTCAATTGCTCTGGCTTTCAATTCAGAACCGACAGCCAAGAGGACACCACCTCCCGTTGATTTTAGGCTGTTGCGGGGGTTACGATCCCAACGGAAAACCACGTATTCAGATCCAAACACTTGATTGGAGATCGTGCGGGAGTCGAGCCAAGTCTCTGTGAGAGCAATAATATTATAGCATCGGTCAGATACGGATATACGATAGTCTTCAACGTTCGAGTTCATCCCGCCTACGTTCTGATAGTAAATAGTGACGTCCTGGTAAATACTAGCAACAGTCGAGTCAAGTCGAGTATTAGTACAAGACACTGAAGAAGTCTGCACATTGTAGACGAAATACGCGTATCTGTCAAGGATAAGCAAATAAAGTAGTGGAATTAAATGGAAAATACTAATCCTTCTCTCTCTCATTATACTAGCAACACGTTGAGAATCTGTGTACACCTCGCCTGAGAGGGAACTTTTGGGCATCCTAATTTCACTTCTGATAACAGCATTAGGGCAGCTTCGATGATCAAAGGCAGCAGAAGGTGGGGCTGCATCGGAGAATCCAGTGGTGCAACCCGCACTTCGAGTGTTAGAGAGTACCGATACAGTGCTGAAATTCGGAATGGCGTCAGGCGGTGAATGTTCAGAGTTATCATTGTACTTGCCTGGCATAGCAGGCTGGAAGACCCCCGAACCCCTACTAACAACAGGACCAGGACGACTGTGAAGAACGCTGGCTGGTACTGGCAGGACCGTGTTAGAGGGACTAGGGGCTTCCAAAATGCTATTTTCAGTGCGTCCTGGTTCCAAAGGTTGATGTATGAAAGGGTGTGCCAATTCCTGTGTACGGGAAACTTTTTTACGCGATGAAATACTAGGTCGAATCGAGTACTTGTCTGTACAAGCAAGGTGGCTACTTCCAACCGCAGGACCGAGACGACTATGAGGTACGCTGGCTGCAGTAGGCGGGACTGGGTTGGAGAGATTGGGGGCTTCCATCAAGCTTTCCATGGTGCGTCTCGGATGTGATAGCTCGGGTTCTGTACGAACAACGGTCGAATTATCGGAACAACTTCGAAGAACAGCAGCTACATAAATCAGCAGTTCCAGTGGAGTCAACATTCGGTCGGGTGATGACATTTAGTGTGATGGGTGAAATACTGAAATTTGGAACTTGGTCAGGAAACGAAAAACCGCTACAACATGCATACTTGCCTGAAAGTGCAGGCTGGAAGACCCCTTCCTCTCCTCCGAACACAGGACCGGGACGACTTTGATGGCGGGAACAATGGTGAACTTCGGCTGTTGACGGCTTGAAACTCGACTGTGACGAAGGCAGAAGGGGCTTCCATTGTACCTTGCAGCGTGCATCCCGGATTGATTGTAGAGAAAACTAAGTGGCTGTTAGAGGTGGAGCAGCATCTGTTCCGGAAGTTCCATCCATCGGAGTTGGTTGGCTGTTCGGATCTTGCGAGGATGGTATCTTGACAATTAT